AAAATGGTTTTGCATTGTAGTTTTAATGCGTAATTCCCTAGTTGATAATGAGTCATACGATTATGAGTCCTATGTGACTCTCCTTCTGTAAAATGCCCGTTTGTGTCTTCCCCACCATTCTACTGAGTCATTTGTTTTCTTCTCCTTCTCCTCCTCTTCCTCCTTCTTCTTCTTTTAAGATTTATTTATTTATTTTAGAGAGACAGAGAGCTAGAGCGGTAGGAAGGGGTAGAGGGAGAGGGAGAGAGAAAATCTCCAGCAGACTCCCCACTGAGTGGGGAGCCTGATGCGGGGCTCCATCCCATGACCCTGAGATCATGACCTGAGCCGAAATCAAGAGTCAGATGCTCAACCGACTGAGCCACCCAGGCGCCCCTGCTTTGTTCTTATTGTTTCGTAAGAGTTGTTCTATATCCTGAAAGCCCTTTGTAGTTATATATTGCAAATCTTTCTTCTCTCCTTGTAGCCTCTGTTTACTGTCTTAAAGTTATCTTCTGAAAAAAAAGTTCTCAGGTTGAACATAGCTGAATTTGCAATGATTTATCAGAAGTGTGGATCTGTAGTAGGGACAGTCCCACCACCTTCTGCTGCTTCTTCAGCATTGTTTGGACTATCCTTGGCCTTTGGATCTTCTATACAAATTTAAGAATCTGCTTGTTACGTTCTACCAAACAAACAAAACCACAAACTCCTACTGGAATTTCACTAAATCTGTAAATCACAAAGGGAGGAATTTACATCTTTATAATATTGTCTTCCTATCCAAAATGTAAAAATGGTGTAGGTCATGGTTTTAGGGCTAATTTAAAGTCTTTCAGTAAAGTTTTAGAGTTTTATCTATAAAGACTTACATCTCTTTTATAAATGTCCTTCTAACCACTTTCTACTTTTTGTTGCTAATGTAAATAGTAGCTTCCAAAATTATATTTTTCTAACTAATTGCCTTGGTATATAGAAATGCAACTGATTTTTTTTTTTGCAACTGATTTTTATATCACTTGTATGTGCAGCCATCTTGCTAAACCCTTAACTCGAATAATGAAGATATAGATTATTTTGAAATTTCTACATCTGAAAACAGTTTTGTTCCTTCCTCTCCTATTCTTAAACTTTTCATTTTTTTTCTTGTTTTATTGTCCTAGCTATGACCTCCAATACATTGTTGAATAGAAATATTGGAAGTGAGCATTTCTATCTTATCCCTTGAATTTAAACTTTTGACTATTAATAATGATGTTTGTTGTAGGTTTTTAACAGGTCCTTTTTCAGATTAACAAATATCTCTTCTATTCCTAGTTTGCTTTAATTGCATTCCAAAAGTTTCAAAACAATATTTTCATCATATTCATTTTTATGTATTTTTAAATTTCCATTATGATACTTCCTTTGATCTATGAGTTGTTAAAGCATGTTTTTCATTTCCAAACATAAGTTTTTTTCTCATTATAATTTTTGTTATTGATTTCTAACTTAATTACATTTGAAATTTATTCATAGAAAATTCCATTTATGCTTAAAAAGAAGCAATAATTTCCAACTGCAGAGTACAATGTTCTCTATATGCCCCTTTTATCAAGCTTATTAATGTGTTCTTTAAATCTTCTATATCCTTCCTGATATTTATCTGCTGAATCTATGAATTACTGACAGAGATGTATAAAACCTTCTACTAGCACAATGGATTGGTCTAGCTTCCCTTGTCATGCTGTCATTGGTTTGCTTTATGTATTTTGAGCATAAATAGATTGATAATGATAGATAATAGATAGATAGATAGATGATAGATAGTCTTATGAGTTTGAAATTGTTTTATGTGTTTGGGAAATAAAGCATTTTACTGCCATGTGGTGACCTCTTTATCACTCATAAAGCTATTTGCCTTAAAGTCTGTTTTTTTTCTGATACTAATATATTTTTCCAGCTTTCTTTTGATTAGTATTTGCCTATTGTATCTTTCTCCTTCCTTTAACTTCCAATATATCTACATCCTTATGTTTAAAATGTGTCTCATGTAAGTAGTATATGCTAGATTATATTATTTTTTATCCAGGTTATCAATTTTTGTCTTTTTTTTTCAAGTTTTTATTTAAATTCCAGTTAGTTAACATACAGGGTAATATTACTTTCAAGAATAGAATTTAGTGATTCATCACTTACATATAACACTCAGTGCTCATCACAAGTGCCCTCCTCAATACCCATCCCCCATCTAGCCCATTCCCTTGCCTACCTCCCCCCTCAACCCCCAGTTTGTTCTCTATAGTTAAGGATCTTTTCCCTGGTTTGCCTCCCTCTTTTTTTTTTTTTTTCCTTTCCTCTATGTTCTTCGGTTTTGTTTCTTAAATTTCACATATGAGTGAAATCATATGGTATTTGTTTTTCTCTGACTTATTTCGCTGAGCATAACACACTCTAGCTCCATCCATCTCATTGCAAGTAGCAAGATTGCATTCTTTTGATGGCTGAGTAATATTCCTATATAAACACACACACACACACACACCCCACATCTTCTTTATCCATTCATCAGTCGATGGACACTCGGGCTATTTCCATAATTTGGCCATTGTTGATTCAATTCTTGTCTTTTAACTGGGGAGTTTAGTCCTGTTGTATTTATAATAATTACTAATATATTTGAATTCATTTCTACCATCCTGTTATGTGTTTTACATTTGTCTCACTTTTTCTGTTTTCCCACACTCCACTTCTTGTGAACTGAGGTTTTTTAATTTATTCATTTGTATTTCATGGTTTTTTCCCCTATTGAATTCTATTTTTTGGAAGTTACTTTCTCTGCATCTTTTCTTTTTGTGGTTGCCCTAAAAATTTTAAGATGCATTTTTCATAATTCTAAAATTAATGTCTTTAACCTCCTCCTGAAAAATTCACGGTCTTTAAATGTTTTTTTTAATTCCATTTATTCTCCCACTCAATCCAGTGTTTAGGTTTTTTTTTTTCTTTAAAGATTTTATTTATTTATTTGACAGAGAGAGACACAGAGAGAGAGGGAACACAAGCAGGGGGAGTGGGAGAGGGAGAAGCAGGCTTCCCGCAGAGCAGGGAACCCGATGTGGGACTCGATCCCAGGACCCTGGGATCATGACCTGAGCCGAAGGCAGTCACTTAACCAACTGAGGCACCCAGGCGCCCCAGTGTTTAGGTTTTAATTCTAACATATTTTTACCCTGGAAAAGTGGTATTATTATCATATTATAGAGTTAAGGTGTATTCATATTTATCCACATACTTAGAATATATTTGTGCACTATTCCTTCTCGTATCTCCCATCATCCCTCTTGGACCATTTTCTCTCTCCCACCTGAAGTACACTGTGTAGAATTTCATTTAGTGGAGACCTTCTGATGGTAAATAATCTGTTTTATTTCTTTTATTTTAAACATCTTTACTTTGCCCTCCGTTTTGAAACAATCATTTGGCTGGATATAGAGTTTTTGTTAACTATTATTTTCTGTCTGGCTTCCGTTACAGTGGGGAGAAGTCAGCAATAACACTAATTGCCATGCTTTTTGTCGAAGACCCATCTTTCCTCTCTGGCTGCTTTCAACATCACCTCTGTTTCTCTATTCTGTAGTTATTGTGTCTAGGAGTGTGCTTCCTTTTATTCATCCTCCTTTGGATTTGTTGAAGATTAGTGTCTTCTCAAAGAGCTCTCCAAAATTCTTAGCCATTATCTGTTAGGATGAAATCCTCTCTCCATGTCTAACTCAAACTTCTCATTTGGTTCTCTCTCTCTAATTTTTGCCTTTTTTTCATATTTCTTAACTTCTCAAATTTATATCCACAATACTGTCATTGCATCCGTCTTCATTATTTCTCTCTAACTGTATCTAATTTTCTGGTTACGCCATCATTTGAGGTTTTAATTTCAATTATTATATTTTTCATATTCGGGAGTTATATTTGGTTGTTTTTTTTTTTCAAATCCACTTGCTCCCTGCTCACATTTTCAAGATTCATTTACCTCCCAGAGTTCTTGGTTTCAGTGTGTTTGGGAACTGAGAGGATTATCTTATTTCCCTGTCAGCTCAGAGATGCATTTATGAAGATTTAAAGAAATACTTTATCCAGTATTTCAGTTGTTTTGGATGGGAAAATTGTTCTGGCTATCCAATTCACTCTATTGCTGGAAACAGAAATGATCAAGCTGTTTTATTTTTAGCCAAAGCTAATTTCCAGATCGCTCTGCACCTGTAAACCTGAAACAATTTGCATGAACGCTCCTTTCCTTTTGAGTTAAAAAGAATTTCCAAAGAGGATAACCAATGCACTTCTGTTAGAGGGAAGTCTTCCTGTTCCAGAGGCTCCCAGAATGACATTTCTAACTCAGATTTGAAACTATCCTGTCAAATCTACTACTACTCATAGCTAAAGTTCATCAGGATAAGGCTTACTACATGCCCAGCATATATGTATTATAAATGTTACCTCCATTTTCACGACCACCCTCTGAAGTAGGTATTATTACTAGTTCCATTTTACAGATAAGCAAACTGAGGAGAGAAATGGTTATAAAATTTGCCCAAAGAACATGGTGGAAGTGGGAAGCAGTTGGGCTCCAGAGCACACGCTCTTAACCTTGCTGCTATACTATCTCTGTTAGAAGATGAGCAATCACTGCAAAACGAGCAACCTGAGAAATAGGACGCATATTGGTTTGTTCAAGGGAAATTGTTCCTCTAGTGCCATGGTTTTCAACCTGCACAGCCCATCAGGAGTACCCAGGGAGTGTTCTCAAAACGTACTCAGCACATCCCAACTAGAGATTCCAATTCCATTGGTTGGGGTGGGGTCTTTTGTCAAGTCTCCCCTGCAGTTCTGATGGACCCCCTTGATCAGAACCACTCCTCTGTGGGTTTTCCAAGACTCCCACCCCAAATAGCTTCCTCTCTCCCTTTGTTCACATTTTAGAACGCTTTACCAGGTTTTAATTTCCCAGAAAAATGGACGTTGGGCAAGAAAGAGAGTTGTCATCTTACCAGTCACCATCCGGATGTCCTTGAGCAATTCACTCCCCCAAATCTGAGCGTCCGTTTCTTCCTGTGTAAAATGAGAGTCTGTTTTAGTGCTAACATTGAAGATTTTCGGTCACTGAATAAGCCTAGTCTTTTGGATCAGCACTGTGTAGCTGCAGGTCAGGGCTCAGAGAAGGGAAGTTCTGGCTTCAATTAGGCCTGGGGATTACTTATGGGGTTGATATATCCATCACTCCACACTCATGGATATTTGGAAGAGAGAGTCACCACACGATGCTGCCACCTAAGTGATCCTGAAAGATCTTGTGAACAGAAGACCCTTGCGGAAAGCCCATGCTCTTTCCTTGCTAGTTAAGCGTTTAAGAAAAGCACGAACTACAATTTAACTGGGGAAGAGTCACTAAGGGACAAAGTCCTAAAAAAAGACAGGGAGGCCCAGACTGAGAATGCCACCCACCTCCACTCACACACCCCCTTCTGTCAAGGCTGCTGAAGCCATCTGGTCAGAAAGAAGCTGCTTTTAAGGAATTTGGCTTTGTTGGGCCTGCGTATAAAAATCCAACACAGATGTTCCTTGGCAACCAAGCGCCTGACTTCTCTGGACCAACATGGCAAAAACTCTCCCTCCTTGGCTGGTTCTGGCCCCGAGGTGCACCAACTTCGTCCTTCCATTCAGTGCTCCTGGCCTGAGCCCTCCTAACCCTGCTGGATCTCGCCCCAAAGGTAACCAAACATTTCCCCACAGTGTTGAGCCGGACAGCCTCCTCCTCAGTGCTCCCTACCCTGTGCTTTAGAGGGTTTCACAGTTCTGCTTTGGCCACTCACAGAGCTCCCAACCCCAAAAGTCAGGGAGAAGTCCCTTCACGTGTAGTTAGAAATGTGAAGGTGATATGCTGAGCTTTCTGAGGACCCCAACCAGCCATGGGTATTGATTCATAAATCAACCTCACCCATTCATGTGGGACTCCCCTGAGAGTTGAACTGGCTTCCCCACCAGCCCCTGGCCTGTCTCTAGATCACAACCTAAGCCTGGGTCTGTCTCCTAGACACCCCTGGCCTCCTGTGGTTGCCTCTATAAATCCCAGGTGAAGCCTCAGACAGGTCATGCATTCCTAAGGAGTGGGGGTAGGCCTTCATTCTGCTTCCCTCACAGAGGTGCCTTAGGCTGCTGGGCAAGGGGTGGACAGAGAGAGTGGCGGTGGGAATGGAGGCCAGGAGGACCTCGTTCTATACCAAATAAGGTAAGGTGTTTAGTGCGCTACCTGGAGTACAGAAGGGCTCACTAGCGGCCCGCTATTATTAGAGGGCCAGGCAGGTGGCAGATCTTCCAGACACTGTTGGAAGCACTCTGCATATATTCTCCACAAATCCTAATACATTTCCTTCAGGCTATTATTATTTTTCACAATTTCATAGCTGAAAAAACAGAAGTTCAGAGAGATTAAATGATTTGTCCAATGTCACACAGCCAACAGTAGTCATTTCAAACACAAATGAGTCCAACTCTAAAATCTGGACTCTTTCCACTATTCTAGGCTGTCTTATCTCCCCTACGAGATGGCAAGCTTCTCAATGAATTTGTTTCTTAAAACAACTGATAAAATTTTTTTTTTAAGATTTTATTTATTTATCTGAGAGAGAGAGAATGAGAGAAAGCACATGAGAGGGGGGAGGGTCAGAGGGAGAAGCAGACTCCCCGCCGAGCAGGGAGCCCGATGCGGGACTTGATCCAGGGACTCCAGGATCATGACCTGAGGCGAAGGCAGTCGCTTAACCAACTGAGCCACCCAGGCGCCCGATAAAATATTTTTTTAAAAAGATTCATAAGAACTATGAGGAGGGATGCCTGGGTGGCTCAGTTATTAAGCGTCTGCCTTCGGCTCAGGTCATGATCCCAGGGTCCTGGGATCAAGCCCCACATCGGCTCCCTGCTCCACGGGAAGCCTGCTTCTCCCTCTCCCACTCCCCCTGCTTGTGTTCCCTCTCTCGCTGTGTCCTCTCTGTCAAATAAATAAATAAAAATTTAAAAAAAAAAAAAAAACTATGAGGAAAAAAGGCCAATCACTCTCATCAATGTGGGTATTGTAATAGAGCATAAAACTATGCTCTGGCCTCCTGGAAGCCCAAAGAGGGAAATGAAACAGATGGAATTTGTCTTCCTGGGCCTTCTTTTCCTGATGGATTTTGCTCCCACTCCACCCCCCAACCCCACCCTCACCCCCAGCATCTACCTCTATCCCTCTACTGGAAGGATTCTGGAATTCTGGTGCCTGGTGCTTGATTCCCACCCAGGGCAACTTCCTATGCCTTGCCCTGTCTCTTCCCTCAGCCTACCAGTCTGCGCTCAGTGATAATTTTTTCCTGTATTCGGTGCTTGCATAAAACTCAGAGAGTAAGTCTTGTGCACTGAAGGACGGATCTGGGCAGCACAGGTAATTACAGGCCAGAGCAGAGTATGGTGAAGGTAGGAGTTTGAGGTGTAGAGAGGAAGAGCAGTAGGCCTGTCTCCAATGGAGGAATCATCTTCCATAGGTGGCAGGGGTAAAAGGGAGTATTCAGAATGGGAGTATCTTTGGGGACCCCACATATTGTACCATAGAGTCCCCTGCTTGCTCTACCATGGGTTTGGGCTGCTCATCCTCTTAACAGATCGATACAAGGTCAAGCAAATTTCACTAAACAATCCTGGAAGAACAGGACTGCTTCCTTGGACATCGTATACATCTCCTACTCTTCTGGTGTGCAGATTACAGGCAGCTAATGAAATCCTATAGCTAAGGCAAGAGCCGGTCAACCTACTCCCGATTTCCGGAGATGGAAGGTATTTTGAGCATTAGAGAATCCACATGTGCACCAAGCATTTACTATAAACTGGATGACTATGTCTTCCACTACGATGAACCACTATTTCACAAAGATACCTGACACTATGGAGTTTATTGTCTTAGGTTCTTTTGATTCTAAGGAAGGAAGTCAGGGAAAAAGGCTCTTTGGTAGCAATGCCATTGAATGATGAAGGAGGCAAACTCTCATGGTGTATCAGTCAAGGTCCTCCGGAGAAATAGAGCCAGCAGAGGCAGAAGCTGATGCTGCAGTCTGGGGGCAGAATATCTTCTCCAGAAAACTTCAGCTTTTGCTTTTAAAGTCTTCCACTGATTAGATGAGGCCCACCCACATTATTGAGAAGAATCCTCTTAACTTAAAGTCAACTGATTGTAGATGTTAACCACATCTACAAAATGTCTTTTTTTTTTTAATATTTTTATTTATTTGACAGAGAGAGAAAGAGGGAGAGAGAGCACAAGCAGGGGGAGTGACAGGCAGAGGGAGAGGCAGAAGCAGACTCCCCGTTCAGCAAGGAGCCTGATGTGGGGATTGATACCAGGACTCTGGGATCATGACCTGAGCCGAAGGCTGTTGCTTAACCAACTGAGCCACCCAGGCGCCCCCAAAATGTCTTCATAACAAACCTTTGATTCGTAGTTGATCAAAGAATGGGTAGTATAGCCCAGCCAAGTTGACATAAAACTAACCATCACACATGCACATCCAGGAACAGGAACCGTCATGGCCTTGTGAGGCCAGGAACAAAGAATGGTTCTGGATCTACTAGTACCCAGACGTTAGTGTGATTCAGCCACTTCCTCCCAATCTCTTCTACTCCCAAAAGGCACATTGGTTTTGTACATTCAGTTCAGATTTTGCAGAGAGAAAACATATTGATTCAAGCCATTTTTTTCATCCTAGGCCATGTTAAGGTCAGAGCGAGGGTCGGTTGTCCTGGAGACAGGTGATCTCCCCGTGGCCCAAGCACTGTTTGTCCCTGTGCAAAGGTCAGCAAGGGCTCTATCTCAGGGCAGGCCGCTGTGGGCCAAGGAGCTTCAGCTAGGCGGGAATGGGGAGCACAGCAGGCCCCTGACTGCACAGCGCCAGCAGGCCTTTCTAGTGTCACAGCACCAACCCAGTGGATCCGAATCACACACACTGGTGCACACAACTCACCTCTTCCAGTGAGGAGACCACCAAAGATGTGTGTCCAATAGGCAGTGTGTGCGGCGGCGGGGGGAGGGGGCTTACAAAATTGTTTTTCAGCATCAAGGCCATAGTCCCCTGATGATACTCACTCCTTTCATGTTCCCTCTGCAACCTTTTCTAGGGGCTATTCCTGATCCTTCTGCAAACAAAGGGCAAATGGTGAATGTAACCACCACCAACACATCTAGTAAATATGATGGAAAACAGAACATTCTGAAGCTAGCAGTAACTAAAGTAATAACATCTACCTTTCTTTAAAAAAAAATTGGAGGAGAATATGGTATAATTACCCAACTTTCAGATTTTAGCAGGGAGGGGATAATAAACCTTAATAATTAGAAGGTACCATGCCCTTAATTCTAGAGTTAGTCCCAAGGCTGTACCTAACATTTGTCGCTCCTTTCCTCCCTTCTTCCATATTGCCTTTGCTTTTCACTCAATGTAGTTGAGTCTAACTTTTGCTATCAGGAAGTCTTTTGTCTGCAAATAATAGAAAATCCAACTCATAGTGGCTTAAATAAATAGGAATTTGTTTTTCTCATATAACAAGAGGTAGAAAGAAAATTTCTGGAGTTGGTCTAGCAATAATGTCAGGAATCTAGGAGACTCATCTCCATTCCACTCTCACCCTCTGCCTCCTGATCACAAGATGCCACCGTGGGCATCCTGGCCATGTTCAAGGCAGGAGGACTAAATAGAGATTGACACCGGCTGCATCTTGACTTTTTATCAGCAAAGCCAAAGCTTTTCTAGGAGAGTCCAGCAGGCTGCTCCTTCTGTCTCCTTGGCCAGAACCCCATCACACCACCACTCCTAGCTATGTTGGAGGCTGTGAAAACAATTATCCAGCAAAAGGAGAGAGAAATGTCATAACGGACTTCCACCAAATGTTATTCTTTGACTGGTCATGGCAGATTACCTTCCTCCAAACAAGATGAGGAAGAAGGAGGTGGAAAAATGGCTGTGTAATTGATGCACCTGCCTACATGACAGAGCCACAGTTCCCCACCACCTTTTATAGTCCCTGAC